TATTATATTTATAAAAATAAGTGGGCTATTAAATTCAGTCATACATTAGTGTGAATTTCTTTCTCAGTTTATATTTTCACTTAGGACTCTGAGGGAAATGAGACTTTGGTATAATGTCAGACACTATTTGTTGAATTCCCAACAGCCATCTCCCCACCCTTATTCCTTTCTAACTGAACCCCAGATGTATTCACATATTGATATCAAAGTACTCAGAGCAGTGGACACAGCTGGAGGAGATGAGCCACGGTTAGTCTAATCAAATTCTTCTTTGAAAACTGGTTTAGCGGCGTACAGATGACTCAGTTCTAGCCAATACATCTTGATAGGATGTCTATGGAGTGGGCGTCTGCGTAAGATTTTTTCCCCCTGATTTAAAAAAATAATGCCAAGAGAAATTCTCCTTATTCCTAATTCTTCATGAGGTTATGTGAGGCTCTGATGCCTGCAGCTTTAGTAGCCATCTTTGGATGCTGAGGACAAGGAAGAAAACAAAATCTAAGCTTCTGAGGGTAGTTCACTAAAAAGGCAGGGAGTCTGAGGCTGTGAGACCATTACTGAACCAATGATTAACCAACCCTAGAACTATTTCCTCCAGACTTCTTGCTATGAGGGATAATAAACATCTATTATATAACTAACTTTTTGTTGAGTATCCTGTTACTTTAGCCAAAATATATACCATCTGACATGGGTATAAAAATCAGGTATTCGTTGCAGGCTATTCAGTACATCTGTGGAAGGGCCTGAGTAACCTAGTGGTTGTATGGGGAGTGAATTCAGAAACAGAGACAGAGCCAGGAAAGTCAGAGAAGTGACCTCTGGATACTCCTCTTACAATATCCATCAAGTCCTAAGTTACATCTGCAATTAGCCCTACGTAAATATGTAAGAATTGCCTCAAGCTAGAACAACAGGTACCAAATCCTATTTCTTAAACTTGTATAGACAATAAAAATTTTCAACTAACCAAGTCATAGGTCTAGGTGACCCAATATGCCCTTCTGAATATGTTCATATTTCTGGGTTCTCAGAGCAAGCAAATGTTTCTACTTTATTCCAACAACCTTGTCAACTATTCAACACTTGGGATTGTTAAAAATAGAGAAACACAATGTTTAAAATAAAAGTCATACTACAGTTAATGTCAAAGGCCCTAGTAGTTAGTTCTGGCTCTCCTAATAACTATAAAATGGAGATAATAACACATATGTAATGAACATTATATATGACAGTGCAGAAAATGTTGTACAACTTGAAAAATAAGACTCAGAGCAAGCTGTTTAATGATATAATATAGGCAGATGTTTCTAAAAATGAATGAATGATTCCTTAGTTCACTATAAAAACTGAAAAACAGACATGATAAAACTTAATCATCTTTTTATGTTTAAGGAAGCTTCAGGACCTTCTTTGCATGCTATGCTAACTGCCATAGTGGACAGCCAACACCAAAGAGCATCTTGTGCCAAAATACATTTATCTGTGAAGACTACACCTATCACTGTATTTTTTTATTTTATTCTATTAATGTGAAATTTTACCATGTACGCTGGGCACAGTGGCCCACACCTGTAATCCCAGCACTTTGAAAAAGTCAAAATAGGTAGAATGCCTAAGGTCAGGAGTTGAAGACTAGCCTGGCCAACATAGTGAAACCCTGTCTCAACTTAAAAAAAAAAAAGAAAATTAGCTAGGTGTGGTGGCATGTGCCTATAGTCCCAGCTACTCAGAGGGCTGAGGCACAAGAATCACTTGAACCTGGAAGGCAGAGGTTATGGTAAGCTGAGATTGCACCACTGCACTCCAGCCTGGGCAACAAAGCAAGACTCCATCTCAAAAAAAGAAAGAAAATATACCATGTATATAAGTGGAATTCACGATACCAAAATCAGATAAAGTCATTACTAGGAAAGAAATCAACAGGCCAGTATTCCTAATGAATAGAAATTTTTAAATTCTAAACAAGTTTTTAACAAATCAAAATGCAATATATAAAAATAATACATTATGATGAAGTGGAATTTAGCCAAAGAATACAAGGTTCGTTTAACATTCAAAGCTCAAGTACTGTCATTTATCATATTAACCAATTAAAAAAGAAAAACTGTATGATTAGCTCAACAGATGCAGAAATAACATTTGACAAAAACCTTCATCTACTCCTAATAAAATTTTCAGCAGACTCAGAATAGAAGGGAACTTCTTCAACCTGAGAAAGAGTATCTATGAAAAATATGTAGCAAACATCATGTTTCATCTTAAAAGACTAAATGATTTTTTCCTAAAATCAACAAACTGGCAAAAATTCCCAATCACATCACTCCAATTAAAGATTAAATTGTGTAAACACTAAAAATGCACAATATAGAAATTTAGCATAATTATAAAATGGTCTCCAAAATTCCTGCCCCCTGTTGTACAATATTTGTATAATTGCCTCACCTTCAATGTGGACTTGACAATCAATATGATCAATGTCACTCCTGTGGATAATGTTACATTTATGGTAAAAAGAAATGTGCATATGTAATTAAGATCCCAAATCAGGCCAGGTGTGGTGGCTCATGCTTATAATTCCAGCACTTTGGGAAGCAGAGTGAGGAGGATCACTTGAACCCAGGAGATGGAAGCTGCCTGGGCAACACAACAAGACTGACCCTATCTCCACAAAAAATAAGATACAAATAAAAATTTCTCAGCCTTGGTGGTGTATGCCTATAGTCCTGGCTACCTGGGAGATTGAAGCAGGAAGATTGCTCGAGCCCAGGAGTTTGAGGTTGCAATGAGCTGTGATCTTGCCACTGCACTCCATCCTGGACAACAGAACGAGACTCTAACCCTCCCCCACAAAAAAGAATCCCAAATCGGTTTTGAATAGTATGAATATGGATACCATCTGGGAGAGTCTGACTTAATCAGGCAGAAACCTTTAAAAAGCATGAGTAAAACTGTCTCCTGCTGACCTCAAAGAAGATGAAAGTCACACAAGTTCTACAGCTGCCAGAAACTGAACACTACCAGTCACCTGAATAAGTCTAGATTGACCCTGAGCCACAGATGCCAATGCAGTGCTGGCTGATCCACTGATTGCCACCATCTTTTCATGCATCTCAATTTTTCATGAGGATAACTGCTTTGTGAAAAATATTTTCCTAGCAAATCTGACCATCAGCAAATCAAAGCAATCCTGAGAACAGGTACAGAGGGGTCAGAAAAATACTTGGAACAGGAGGTTGGCACACATTTTAGGTGAGCCCTAAGCAATGGATCCATCCAATTTATGCCCAGACCCCTGGCCCGTGGAAACTGTAAGATAATAACTGTAAGATTATAATTTTCAAGCTAGTAAGTTTGTGGTACTTGCTGACTCAGCAATGGAAAGCTAATATATACACCATTCAAAATACCCATAAAAATATGAAATAACTGAAGATAAATCTGACAAAAGATGTGAAAGACCTATAGACTGAAGGCTTCAAATCACTGCTGAGAGGAGGAGAGATACATTATCTGCATGGGTTGGAAGACTTAATTTTGGTGAGAAGTAAATTCTCTCCAAATTGATCTATAATTTCAACTCAATCCCAATCAAAATTGCAGAAGGCTTTTTTTTTTTTTTGCAGATATTAACAAGCTGCTTCTAACATTTACATGGAAATGCAAATAACCTAGAACAACCAAAACAATTCTGAAAAAGAAGAATAAAATTGGAGCACTAGTACATTAAGTATCCGTGGGGGAAAGAAGGACTCCACTCAGGAGGGAAAATGGTCTAGCCCTTAACTGTATGTCCTACTGGGAAGGGAGGTAGGTGGTTTTGGCATTTCCATTTCTGGGTAGGGGATTCAGGGCCACCAACACTGAAAGCTGGAGTTCAGAAACAGAAGTGGGGTGCTTCTCTTTGTTAGCACTCTGCTTAGAAACCTTTATGCGTTGGCTCTTGTGCAATCTGTAGCTTGAGAACACGCCCTGGATCCTGTCTTTTCCCTCAACCAGCTGTGGGCTGCCCCTCCTCACCCCCAGGACTGGAAGGTTAGAGGAAAAACACTATCATTTATACAGAGGGATTTAAAAAAGAACAGCTTGAAAAATTACACCTATATTAATCAAGATAATGTGGTATTGACATAAAAACTGTCCAGTAATACAATTAAAAGAAACGGAGGGTATAGAAACAGATCTCTACATATCTGAATAATGGATTCTCAACAAAGGTACAAAGGTAATTAGTGAACAGATATATTCTTTCAGCAAATGGTGCTGAAACAACTGGATATCCACATGCAAAAGAAGTGAATTTTAATCTAGACCTTATACCATATTAAAAAGTAACTTTAAAATGTATCACAGATACAAATGTAAAACTTAAAACTATAAAGCCAAAAGAAAACATGTCAGGAAACATTTACAACCTAGGTTTGGCAAGGAATATTGAGTTATGACACCAAAACCATAATTCATAAAAATGTAAATTAAGAGGCTTTATCAATATTAAAAACATCTGCTCTTCAAAAATTCCTGTTAAGAGAACTTAAAGACAAGCCACAGGTTAGAAGAAACCATTTTCAAATCCTATATATGACAATGGATTTCTATCAGAATTCATAAACAACTCTGAAAATTCAACAATAACAAAACAATGTTTTTTTAAAAAATAAAGCAAACAGATTCGAACAGACACACGGATACACAGAAGAGGAATATATAAATATCACAAATAAGCATATGAAAATGTGATCAACACCATTAGTCATTAATGAAATGCAAATTAAAATCATGAGATACAGCTACCTACCTGTTAGAATTGCTAAAGTTAAAAATACTGACCATACCAATTGTCCATGTGAGTATACAGTAAGAAGAATTAGAACTGCTTCTTATGAAAGAATTAGAATTCTAATATACTGGGTGGAAATGTAAAATGATACAATTGCTTTGGAAATTTTTTGACAGTTAAATGTACACATATTATCTTGGTCCATTTGGGCAGCTATAACAAAATACCATAAACTAGGTAGCTTATAAACAGCAGAAATTTATTTCTCACAGTTCAGGAGGCTGGAGAGTCCATAATAAAGGTGATAGGTTCGACATCTGGTGACGACCTGCTTTGCAGTTCCTAAATGGCAACTTCTTACTGTGTACTCACATGGTAGAAGGGGCAAGGCAGCGCTCCATGACATAATCACTCCCCAACAGCCCCACTTACTAAGACTGTCACATTGGTGATTAGGTTTTCACAGAAATATTTGAGGATAATACAAATATTCAGACTATAGCACTTACTAATTTATCCAGCCATTTCACTGCTAGGTATTTACCTAGAAAAATGAAAGAAAACAAATATCCATACAAAGACTTATACGCCATTTTCAAAGTAGCTCTATTTATAATATCACAAAATTGGAAACAACTCAGATATTTATCCACAGGTAAACTGATAAACTATAGTTTATAAATAAAAAGAATTAACTATTGATATATACTATAATTTAGCTGAATCCCAAAATAATTATACTGAGTGAAAGAAACCAAATGAAAAAAAGCACACACTGTATTATATACAACTCTAAGAAATTAAAAGTAACTTAAGAGGACGTTTGGCACCCGATTGTCATTTCTATACCAGTTTCCAATAAGAAGACTCAAACTTCTTTGGATAAATGGCTGATTCTACAACTAGGGCAGGATATATACAAGATGAGTCTGTTGCATATTGTAATACCAGAAAGTAAGAAAGTGCACTCACACGCACATGCACTCAATAAGAAGAGTGGGTCAAGGGGCACAGGAGTCAACTGAAAAAGCTCCCAATGCCAAAACTGGAACAATTTGAGCAACAAAGTATTCATGAATCCACACAGATGAAAATAAAAGGCTAAATAATGGAGTAAATGGGGGAGAAGAGGCAAATCTTCCTCACAGAATTCCAAATAAATTATGCAGATACTGCATTCCAAAGGAGGGCTAGCATAACTCCCTACTCCCCCACACTTCTTCATAATGACTTCCTTCCAAAGAGTACAGGGTATGGAAAGAGGGAAAAAACGAGTCACTATGCAATGGAGAAACCTGACAAACACCTTCAGCCAGGTGATGGAGAACAGCATTAACAGTCGTAAGTCATGTTGACAATATGTACCCTTCATATGATGTAATAAATATGGCACATTACCTCTTTGATTCCCCCCAACCCCTGCCAAAATCCCTAAGAGTCTACTCATGAGGATACATCAAATTCCAATAGAGGGGCATCCTGCAATATACCTCACCTGTACTCTTAAGGACTGTGAAGGTCATCAGATACAAGGAAAATCTGAGAAACTCTCACAGCCAAGAGGAGCCCAAGACATCATAACAATTAAATGTGGTGTCCTGGATGGAATCCTAGAAAGGAAAAAGGACATTAAGTGAAAATGGAGAAAATCTAAATGAACTATGAATATTAGTTAATAATAATATATCAGTATTAGTTCATTAGTTGTAACAAATGTACCCTATTAATTTAAAATGCTTACAGAGAAATATGTACAAATGATATATGAGCATTCTCTATATTAACTGCTCAATTTTTCTGTAAATCTAAAATTGCTCCCCAAAGTAAAATCTACAACTGTGTGAAATTAGCCATCAGGAAAATACAAATAAATCACAGTGAAATACCACTTCACACACTTGGAGGGCTATAACAAAAAAGACAAATAAAAAGTGTTGTCAAAGATGTGAAGAAATCAGGACCCTTATACACTGTTGGTGGAAGTGTAAAACGTACGATCATTTGAACCAGAGTCTGGCAGTTCCTCCAAAGACTAAACCTAGAGTTACCATATGACCCAGCAGTTCCACTCCTAGGTGTATACTCAGAAGAAAGGAAAATATACGCTGGACAAAAATCTTGTACATGAAGGTTCATTAGCAGGATTTTTCATGGTAGCCAAAAGGTGTAAACAACCCAAATGTCCAACAATTGATAGAGATGGATAAATAAAATGTGATTTATCCATACAATGAAATATTTGGCAATAAAAAGGAGTGAAGGAGTGAAGTGCTGATTCATGTGGAACATGGATGAAACTTGATCCAAAATAGGCAAATCACAGATACAAAAAGCATATTAGTGGCTGCTGGGAGAATTAGGGGGAAATGTGGAGTAACTGCTAGTGGGTCTGCGAGTTATGCAAATGTTATAAAATTAATAGTGTGCACAACTCTGAGTACATGAAAAATCAATGAATTGATACTTTGGTATTGGAATTATACCTCAATAAAGCATGGTAACTGTTCTAAGATAGGCTGGAAAGAGAAAGCCTGAAAACAGTAACAACGATATTAATATAATCAATTAGTTTACCTCTCTACTTTCATAGACTTCTGTACCCACTCTTACTCCTGCTTTATGCATAAGGGTCCCCTTGCAGTTGCCATATTATATCCTGCTATTTGATTGCCTGTGAACATACTACACCGGCTTCCTGGAATTCTCTTTACCTTTCCTCTACCTGCCTAACTCCCACATATCTAAGATTAACCAGAGTAAACTAATTGATAGAACAATCAACTCCAAATCCTAGTGACCTAACAAAATAAAGGTGTATTTCTCACTCACGTAACTTCTCCCCAGATGACTGAGAGGTCCAAGCTCCATACCTCTAATGGCTCCACCCCTCCTGGAGTCTTCTTGTGAATCCTCTATACATGATTGAGATAAACTGTGTGTCATTAGCATAGCTAGACCTTGAGGCCCTATAAGAAGATTTGCAAATCATTTACTCTGTTTCGAACAGGGTATATTTAAGATGATGTCAAAATATCCAATAGTCTTGCATCAAATACAGTTTATGACTCTGTATCTAAAATATATACTGTAATACTCTTTCCTTTCTCTACTGACTCCATGAATTTAGAGATGATCCATTTTATAAGCTCAAAGATAATTATTTTTCAGACTAAGAATATCTAGGGGAAAAAGTACTTTCAACATCTCTACTGAGGATCTTACGATGTAGCACAGGGTATAAGCTGGAGCTAAAGGAAACTTTCCTTGAAGCGCTATTTACTAAAAATTGGAACACATTCCTTAGGACAAATCAAAGTATGGCACACAACATCCAAACTTCCATCATAGATACAGAGTTGTTGCTATCTCCCACTCCCAAATTTGCTTGTCACATTGAGGATTACTCAAGAGGAGCAGGACATGTTGGTTGCAGCAGGAGAAACTTGAAAGCACTCACTTTTATGGAATTCATAAGGGAGAGAATCTCTTAAAGTATTTAGAATCATCTTTGATACATTTATTATTTTAAAACATAATGTAGCCAAACGTCTTCCTCTGTATTAAATCTTTACAAAACTGAAATCCTAAAATGGTGATAAAAATTCTACTTCTGGTAGAATCTATTCGTTTTTCCAATAAGATAGGGCATAATTCTTAATTTGCAGAACAAAATATAATATGCTTATGAGATTCCATCCCAAAGAACCTGCTATTCAGGGTAGCATTCAGAATAACGGGTGGAAAAGCTAACTCGAGTTTCAGATCCTACCCGTAATTGGGGTAGGGAGGGGCTTTGGGCGGGGCCTCTCTAGAAGAGGAGGCGTTGTTAGAAAGCTGTCGGGCCAGTCCAAAGCTGTCACTAATCGGGGTAAGCCTTGTATTTGTGCAAGGACTCTGGCGTCTGGGTAGCACTCTCAATGAGAACTAGCTTCACTTGTCATTTGAGTAAAATCTGCAACTGGAGGAGGCTAGAGCTCCCGCACTGCTGGGAACTGATAACTTCAGAAATGACTGTCACCCGCTGTAGGGAGCCAGCAGAAGCACGACCTTTCCTGAGAGAGGTCCCACTAGCCCCAGGGTTTTAGTGAGAAGTGCAGTGGAACTCAGCGAGGGATTGAGAACTTCACAGCATGCGCGAGTTTGATGCCAGTAAAAAAGTCGGGAGATAAGGAGCTGCGTGTCCCTCAATTGCCGTCGCAGCCGCAGCCACTCAAGTGCTGGACTTGTGAGTACTCTGCGTCTCCAGTCCTCGGACAGAAGCCGGAGAACTCTCATGGAGAACTCTCCCAGTTAAGAGTCGAGATCCCTGCAATAACTACTTTTTCTTGCTCTCCCCACTTGCTGCTCTCTGGGACAAACGACAGCTACCATTCCCCTGACGACAGGATGGAAGCCAAGGGCAGGAGCTGACCAGCGCCGCCCTCTCCCACCCCCGACCCAGGAGGTGGAGATCCCTTTGGTCCAGCCACATTCAACACCCGCTTTCCCCTCCCTCTCCCCCTATATTCCCAAAACCCCCTCCTTCTTTCCTTTTCCCTCCTCCCTGGAGACGGGGGAGGAGAAAAGGGGAATCCAGGTCATCATGACTGAGCTGAAGGCAAAGGGTCTCCGGGCTCCCCACGTGGCGGGCAGCCCGTCCTCCCCCAAAGTCGGATCCCCACTGCCGTGTCGCCAAGCCACAGGCCAGTTCCCAGGGAGCCAAACCTCGGACACGTTGCCTGAAGTTTCTGCCCTACCTATCTCCCTGGACGGGCTACTCTTCCCTCGGATCTGCCAGGCACAGGACCCCCCCGACGAAAAGACGCAGGATCAGCAGTCCCTGTCGGACGTGGAGGGTGCATATTCCAGAGTTGAAGCTACAAGGGGTGCTGGAGGCAGCAGTTCTAGACCCCCAGAAAAGGACAGCGGACTGCTGGACAGTGTCTTGGACACTCTGTGGGCGCCCTCAGGTCCGGGGCAGAGCCAACCCAGCCCTCCTGCCTGCGAGGTCACCAGTTCTTGGTGCCTGTTTGGCCCCGAACTTCCCGAAGATCCACCGGCAGCCCCCACCACCCAGAGGGTATTGTCCCCGCTCATGAGCCGGTCCGGGGGCAAGGCTGGAGACAGCTCCGGGATGGCAGCTGCCCATAAGGTGCTGCCCCGGGGCCTGTCACCCTCCCGGCAGCTGCTGCTCCCGACCTCTGGGAGCCCTCATTGGTCCGGGGCTCCAGTGAAGCCGTCTCCGCAGCCCGCTGCGGTGGAGGTCGAGGAGGAGGATGGCTCCGAGTCCGAGGACTCTGCGGGTCTGCTTCTGAAGGGCAAACCTCGGGCTCTGGGTGGTGCGGCTGCTGGCGGAGGAGCCCCGGCTGTCACACCCGGGACGGCTGCAGGAGGCATCGCCCTGGTCCCCAAGGAAGATTCCCGCTTCTCAGCGCCCAGGGTCGCCCTAGTGGAGCAGGACGCGCCCATGGCGCCCGGGCGCTCCCCGCTGGCCACCACGGTCACGGATTTCATCCACGTGCCCATCCTGCCTCTCAGTCACGCCTTATTGGCCGCTCGCACTCGGCAGCTGCTGGAGGACGAGAGCTACGACGGCGGGTCCGGGGCCGCCAGCGCCTTTGCGCCGCCGCGGAGCTCACCCTCCGCCTCGTCCACCCCGGTCCCTGGCAGCGACTTCCCCGACTGCGCGTACGCTCCCGACGCCGAGCCCAAGGACGACGTGTACCCTCTCTATGGCGACTTCCAGCCGCCCGCCCTGAAGATCAAGGAGGAGGAGGAAGGCGCGGAGGCCTCCACGCGCTCCCCGCGTTCCTACCTGGTGGCCGGTGCCAGCCCCACCACCTTCCCGGATTTCCCGCTGGGGCCACCGCCCCCACTGCCGCCACGAGCGCCCCCATCCAGACCCGGGGAAGCGGCGGTGACGGCCGCACCCGCCAGTGCCTCAGTCTCGTCCGCATCCTCGTCGGGGTCGACCCTGGAGTGCATCCTGTACAAAGCAGAGGGCGCGCAGCCCCAGCAGGGCCCGTTCGCGCCGCCGCCCTGCAAGGCACCGGGCGCGGGGGGCTGCCTGCTCCCACGCGACAGCCTGCCCTCCACCTCTGCCTCCGCCGCCGCCACCGCCGCTGGGGCTGCCCCCGCGCTCTACCCTGCCCTCGGCCTCAACGGGCTCCCTCAGCTCGGCTACCAGGCCGCTGTGATCAAGGAGGGCCTGCCACAGGTCTACCCGCCCTATCTCAACTACCTGAGGTGAGGTCCCGCGGGACGCATCCAGCGCGTCCGTGAGTAGCGGTTCCGCGGGCTGCAGCCGCCAACCACTGCCCCAGCCCCAGCCCCGGCTCAAGGCTGCGCTCTCCCGGGCGGCCGGAGAGGGTGGGCAGCGGGATACAGCACAAGGGCAGTTGCCTCCCTTCTTCCCTTCTCTCCTCACTCTTTTGGGGACACGAAGGTGGGCGCAGAATGTGCCGTTTTTGGAGCATGCCTCCCCGAAAGCTTTTTCTTTTTCTTTTTTTAACCTTCCGAATCCTCCAGATTCCGAAGCAGAACCAACCCTGATTTAAAATGTGCAGCGTCACACTAGGTCCGCTGTAGCCCAGCGGAGCAGAAAGTGCGCTCCGAGTCGGGGGCTTTGTGAGATGCTTCTTTCTTAGAAGGACGTTTACCAGCAGTGCCTGTCTTGGAGAGGAGTTAAGGCACGGTTCCCCCGGGAAGGGTGGGACTTGAGAGGTGGCGGGCCAGAACCGAAAGCAGCACGATCTTAGGGATTTGAAAACTTTAACGGCTCAGTTGTCTTAAGACTCTCAAGATTAAACTTAAGTTCACGTGGGAGATGTTTAAACTGTGAATTTAAACACCAATCAGTGCATTGCACCGTTTTCTAATTATTGCTTGCGATTCACTACTTTTTTTTCATACAGGTTTAAAAAACACTTTAATGTGCATACTGAAGTAATGGGATGTAAAAGAAAAAGAATGCTCTGTTTTGAATCTTACGTTGTGAGTAGGCAAAACAGTGTCAGTGTATTGAACAATACTTTAAAATGACAAACACATACTTATTTAAGTAAGCAATGATTACAGGGTTGTGTTTTAAAAACTCAAAACCAAAACATTGCAAAGTGCCACCGAACTTTTAAAGCCAAACTGTTTGTTTTGACCGAGCATACAGACAGAAAGGACATAACATTTCATTTGTCAAAAACTAAATTGCTTCTATATAGAGTTTTGTAGAAAGATTTCTTTTTAACCGACTTTAGCTTTCCAGAACATATTATACATTAATTATTCTTTTATATTGGTGCTACTGATGACTGGCTAATCATTTGCAAGTCTGGTGAATTCAGTTACAAGTAGCCTATTACCAAGTTTGCATGTCTTTTAAGTGTATATATGAAGTTCTGTTTTTAAAATCTCCTTTCACTCTGTTAATGCTGGTTTAAGAAACCTTTAGTATTAGATAGTGGTGCACTTAAAAATAAATGGAGTAATTTGTTTTGCATTTCAAGGCCGGATTCAGAAACCAGCCAGAGCCCACAATACAGCTTCGAGTCATTACCTCAGAAGATTTGTTTAATCTGTGGGGATGAAGCATCAGGCTGTCATTATGGTGTCCTTACCTGTGGGAGCTGTAAGGTCTTCTTTAAAAGGGCAATGGAAGGTAGGCTCCTTTCCCCTGATCCTTTATTGTTGGTTTAATTGTAAACGGATATCATCTATTGTTGTGTAGATTTCAATTATTCCTTGTTTATTCTAAGAAATGGTTATTTTCTATATAATTTAAAATATGTGATGACATTTTAACAATATGTTTTTATTTATGATACTCAAAATTGAATGTGGTTGTTATTATAATTGCATAACTTTAACACTTTCAATATTAGACATCAGTCATAAAAATCTTGAGGACAGTGCTACTATTGTCCCTCAACTACTTAGCTTTCAGGAAACAGCTTTGTTCTAATACTTTTATATATCTATTATGTATGCTATATCTGCAGAACTTTAAAATTTTGATTAAAAGAAAAATGGTAGTTGACATTATATATGTACATATATGTGTATACATATTTGTCTATACATACACAAATATATCACAACCTATATATGATGCAGTTATAGTTTTCTACATGATAGTCTTTTAACTACATGTAATATTTATATAATAGTAATTCTAAACAAATTTTTGAATTCTCTTTGTTCAGCATATTTTTGTAAGTGTATAAGAGGACAGGATTAAACAGTTTAAAACATAAAAAATTTGGGCATCACAGTAACATAATTTCTAAAGAAGTATTTTGCTTTAAGTAAAACTTTCATGTTTTTAAGCTCATTGAACTTACATGCTTAGTGATTTCATATTGACTTGCATCGTGTGTTTCAGGCTTTAACTTTCAAAGAAAATAGTTTTGAATTTCTTTCTACCTAAACTCTAAGTAGCCAAATACCTTTACATTTGAAGATAAAAATGCATTTAAAGATCATTTCATATTTTAATACTAGCAATAAAATTAGCAATAAATGTACAGTATAACTATGTAAAATGGAGTTTAGGGTTCCATCTGGAATGCTGAGATCACACCTAGACAATGAACCAAAGATCTGAATGTTAGCTTTTGTTTCCTGTTCTGAGGTTTTCTGTTTGTTTGTTTGTTTGTTTCAAGAGCCCTCTCCTGACAAGCAGAAGCGCAGGGAAGGGGAAATTTCACTTTAAGGCTTTCAAAGGAGTTCTTCATAACAAATATTTGCTTCATATATTTTTAGAACATGGTTTTTTTTTTTCCCCCAGAAAAGATGAATGTATTTTACTGATGTTGAACATATTCAGCTTCAGGGGGTTTGATTGCGTTTTAAACTAATTGAGGCACTGTTAGAAGTGGTATTTGAGAAAACAGGGCAACTGAGAGTGGCACTTTCCCATTGATATAATGTATTTACAGTTACAGATGGAAGTTCTTCATGTGGAAAAGTCAGTTTTCCAATGAATAATTGGAGTTACCATTTTTATTTGACTTTGGTTATGGTTTCTTAAACATTTCCTTCTGTATTAATATGATTTCCTCTATTTGTAAAGTCTCCTAAGGATAGTATAATTTTATAAGTGAATGACTCCCTTAGAATCCCCTGAAGGCCAATTTGTCCTACTCCAGCTCCTTCTTCCTAAAGATAAGCAAATCTCAAATGCATAAATCTGAGTTCCCAAAGGTCACACAGCTAGTTAGTAGCTGATTGTTAGTAAACATAGATTAAATATTTTTAAATTGAAGTGCTTATAAATTAGAGATGATATGCAAAAGTAGATTTATAAGTTCTGTTTGAGTCACAGAAGTTAGTTTAGAAAGTGCATATGTAGAACAAAGAGCACCCTAACTGTAAAATACAAATGCTTTCTCATCATATTAGAATGGCATCCAAAACTGTAGAGAAAGACTTTCCAAATTTACTCTTAGAAAGCATTTGTTGGACTCCTGCTGCTGGCATGGTCCAATAGTCTTGAGTCATGGAATTGAAGCACCTTTATTTAGCAATATTTACAAAGAGTAACTTAAGATTGATGCAGATAAATCATTCATAAAACTAGAACAAGATTATGAACTATATTACTAAGTTTCTTCATTCAACAACTATTATATAACTTTTATAGTTACACTTATGGAAAAGATAGCCTTTCCCTGACTTCCCTTTTCCCTGCCTTGAGATAAAATGAGGATAAAAGTGGCAATTTCTTAGGGTTGCTATAGAGATTAAATGAGTTGATACTTGTAAAGTATGTCAAAGAAGGCCTGACATATTGTCAGTTTCCACTAGCATTTCTACTTTCAAGGAGTTTATAATATAGGTAGGGAGGTAACATACGCACATAAAACATCTAAATAAAGATTCTCAGTAAATACCCAGGTAAGCAATTCCGTAATATATATGAGATCTGTGTGGTTTGTGAGTTTTTGTATTCGGGCAGTGTGAGGTCGTTGTGGGCTGGAATATGTATATTCTTGAATGATGAGGAAGGCTTCGTGGAAGATATGAACATTTGATTAGTAAAGGATAAATAAGATCTCTAGGCATTGAGGGGAGCTTTAAGTGTATATAGTAAAAGAAGACTGCAGAAATTAAGTTTACACCGACTAAGTGTTGAATGTTCACATTGGAAATTGAGACAGTTAAAGCTTGGGAAACTAGGTTGCTAGTGTGTGAGTAAATTTGGAAAATCAGCGATTTAAGGAAAGAGAATAGAGGGAAGTTTCTAGGAGTCTTCAGGAATGAGGAAGATAAGTAGAAGGACTTAGACCAGGTTCAAAATCTTGATAAAGCAATACTGTGTGATGAGCTGATTCAAGGAGGCAATATGTGTGGATGCCAATATGGCCACAGGTTTAAAGTCAACAGGAAACAATATGGATACTAATGTTGTCAAGGATGATAATAAAAATGATGGCATTATAAAGTGCTTTCTCTATACCAGTAACTATTTCAGTGCTTTGCAGGTTTTATTTATTGTTATAATGTTTGTATTATTATTTTTATTCCCACTCTACAAATGAGGAAACTAAAGCCTATAGATGTTAAGCTGTCTTAATACAGTTAGGAAATGGTAAAGTCAGGGTTCAAATATGGTAGTATGACTCCAGAATCCTGGCCCTCGACCACTATGCTTCCTTTCTCTTTTTCTTTTTTTCTTTCTTTTTTTTTTTTTCTTTGAGACAGAGTTTCCCTCTTGTTGCCCAGGCTGGAGTGCAATGGCATGATCTCGGCTCACCACAACCTCCACCTCCCGGGTTCAAGCGATTCTCCTGCCTCAACCTCCCAAGTAGGTGGGATC